AGTTGGTGAGTTTTGCTGTGTATGCTTCTCTTTTTTCTAGTGTTTGAAGTTGATCGATGAGTGGTAATATTCTTACGCGATCAGTTCCGAGAAGTATTGACCATTCGTTGATAGCGTTATTTGCTTGTTCTCTATTTTCATAGCGGATTGTGGTGTAAGCCCATTGATTTGTGATTTTTTGTTTGGTTTCTTCAATGTTGCCAAAACCTGAGAGAGCTGCGTTAATTTGGTCTTTTGAGGTGCCGATTGGTACATCTCTCAATGCTACGATTGTAGCTGGATCGATATCTGTTGAAGATTTAGGATGTACATGAGTGATGTAGGAATCATTGATGTTTATTTCGGTGGCATTATTGAGTGCTTTTAGTGAGGAGAATTCTGTACAGATATATTTATTTTTATCAATTGCGACAGATTTGGCTTTTATGAATCCGGGTATAGAGAAGAAATAGTTGTTGATTGATTTGATGTTGTCTTTGGTTGAGGTTCCGGATAAAAGATCCTCTGCTATCCAGCCTCGGAATCTTTTGGTGCTTTGAACTATTTCCCAGGATTCTTCTGTGTTTTTGATTGTTGTTGAATTTTCAGGATCGTTATCTGATTGGTTGAATGGAGGAAAAGAGTGATGTGATTCTGAGTATGTATCGTGTAACCTTGAGTGATCAGTAAGTAGATCATTGTTGGATGAAAGTTGGATTTTATTTTTGGTGTTTGATTGGTTAATGTGTGTGTCGCTAGAGATATCATTATTAGCTTTGTTTGTATGAGATGAGATGATAGAGGTGTTGTCGTTTTCCATTTCCGTATCAGATACATGTGATTGTGTGATGTTGTTTGTTGAAGATGAGATGATGGATGCGTTATCATCGTCTGCTTCTGTATTATTATTGTGTGATTGTGTTCTTTGTTTTTTTGATTGGCTGCGTGTTACAGGTTTTTGTATGCGTTTATACGGATGTACATGTTTGTGATCAGTATTACCTTGTTTGAGTTCGGAAAGTGTGTCGGAATGGTTACTGGATACGTTATCAGGGTTTGGCGTTTTGGTATTTTCTGATGTTGGTGAGGAAATACCTAAGAATTTTGCTACTTGGTCTAAGGCAGTAGGAGAGGAATTTTTGGTGTTTTTGTTTGTTTTATTTGACATGTTGTTTGAGTATGGCTAGAAGAATTTGAATAATTGATAAAGAGAAAGGTTATTTGAATTTGTTTTTGGAATTTTAGATTTTTTGTTGTATTTTTGGTTTTTGTATTTTTATTGAAAGAAAGAAATAAAGAAAAAAGAAATAAAGTGAAATAGAAAGAGAAATTTGTTATTGACGTGGAAAGTTTGAATTGCGAAGAGTTTTTTGTGTTGATTACAGTGGGAAAAGTGCTTCTTTTCTGTGTGGTTGAGGGAGTTTTCGTACTTGGAAATTTTGCTCCACCTGGTCAAGAGATCTGCAGGGGAGAGTTACGAAAAGAAGTTTTTTGAAAAAAAAAAAGATGTTTTATTATTATTATTATTATTATTATTATTATTATTATTATTATTATTTCTATTATAATTATTTCTTTTAGTATTATTATTATTTTTATTATTATAATTATTTCTTTTATTGTTATTATTATTATTGTGATTGCTATAATAGTTTTTAGCAAAATATTTACTTTTTCTATAGTTATAACATGAAATATTATTATAAGTGAAATTGTTTTTATTATTATTATTACATTAAAAGTTATTATAATTATTATTATTATTATTACTGTTATTCAAATTTTTGATTTATTTGATTAATTCCTATAAAGTTGTATTAATATCTGTATTATTAGTTGTTGTTAATATATTTGATTGCATTGGTAACTTATAATTATATAGTATGATTGAGGTTGCTAATACAAATGAATTATTATAAGTATTTTTAAATTCAATTTCTGTTTCAATAGCAATATAGATGGCTTTCTCAAATATTTCAGGTAAATTCAAATTAATAAAAAAGATATATTTTGTGAATTGAGATATTTGATAAATTTACAGATTTTATATTAAGTTAAATAAGTATTATCTAGATTAATTTTATAAAGTAATAAACAAATATTAGCTATATATTGACTAACCAATTCATTTGCACTTTGAATATAATTATTTAACTGTTATTATTATAATAATAATTGAGTTTGAATATAGAATTTATTTAGGAAATATAATTTGAAGGAAGTTTCTTGATTATTAGTATTATTATAATATATAGATCATGTATTATTTGCTTGAATTTAATTTTTATACTAATAATTGGTAATACCATATAAGTATATCAATATAATACAAATTCTTCTTTTATCACTTATATTATTAGCTCTTGTAACTTGTTCAAATTCTTTTATTTAAGTGATTGGATCATTTTGATCATTTTCATAAAATATTAGAATTAGAATTAAATCTTGATTTTGATTACTAATTAGGTCTGCTAATTGTTTGAAAGTGGTATTTAGAATAGCTATTGTTAATGATAAAGATAATGATAATGGTGATAGTGACTTTAATTCAATATTTTCTGATAATAATAGAGATAAATCAAGAATTAAAGCATTTTGTTCTTCTTCTTCAAAGTTTTGAGTTGTTAACGATGTTTCTAGATAATTTTAAAAACTTTGTTTAATATTTTAAACAACTATTAATATTGTTATTACTATTTGTGAATATGATTCTTAACTTGTAATTATTAATATTGATATTAATGAATGAGATTTTTGTTTTATTTTATATTTGAATAACCAAAATTGTCTTTGTTAATTGAAAGTTTGAATTTCTTTAGTTAAGTTATTAAGATAATTAAATAATCCAAATAGTTTTAGAAGAGTATATGGTGATAACCACTATTATAGTTAATATTTAATAATATTAATTTGAGATTTTTGTTTGGTGATATCAATTTCAAATAGATTATGGAGAAATGATTCTCTATCTTGTTTTTTTGTGAGTTCAGTATTAATTATTTTTCTAATAATATCAACAAATTGACAGCAAATCTCAACTTCAATTAGTTTAGATGGATTCAGTTTTGAAAAGTATTTTAGTTGTATCTAGTTCCAATTTTACCATCCACAGAGGGAGCACCAAAAAGTTATTATTGTTATTATTTTGATAGACAAGGTATTAACTAATTATAATAATTAATTAAGAATTATATAAGAACAATAATAGTGATTATGTATACTTGAGAGAGTTAAATACTAGATGATTGAAAGAGAATATTAAAAAAAATAGATTTTAATATTTCCACTAGTTGGATAAGTATTTTATAATTTAAAAATGCGAATAATTTATTAAAATATAAAAGATGACTTTTACTAATTGAATAAGTTAAAGTTAAATAAATAATAAATCAAAAATAATAATAAGCAAAAGATTATTTAAAAGTATTAATTAACTTTTATATTTTTATTATTTTTAAGATTACTACTAAGATTCTTGTTATTCTATGTTAAAAAAATTATATCTATTTAAATATATGTAAATATAATTCAGATCTATATAATAAATAATGTTATTTAAAAATAATTATAAGATTAATTTGAAAGGAATATAATGCCAAGAAATGATAAGTATAATATTAATTTAGACTAAGTGATATTATTTAAATTAGAGTAATATTAGTACTATATTAATTAATATTAAATAAAATTAATTTAAAATAAAATGAATTTAGATTTAATAATATTATAATAAAATAAATAATAGAATTTTAAAAAGAATTAATTGGTATTTTTGATAAATTATATATAAAATTAAATAAATTAAATAATTAAAAATAAAATTATAAATAGAAAAATATAAAAAAATATAAATAATTATTAAAATTATATTATATAATATTTTATATATAATCAAAAATATCAAATAGTGATAATATATGAAAACTAATAAATATAATAGTTTATTAAATATAAAAATACTATATTGATATAAAATTATAAATAGAAAAATATAAAAAAAATATAAATAATTATTAAAATTATATTACATGATATTTTATATATAATCAAAAATATCAAATAGTGATAATATATAAAAACTAGTAAATATAATAGTTTTATTAAATATAAAAATACTATATTGATATATTTCTTAAAGATAGATTATAATTGTAATTATTCATTCATAATTTTTAAAAATTTTTCTGAATTATGTGAGATATTTCAAGTACACTTCAGATTTAAATAAGATATATTTTTAATGGCTTAGCTCAAAACAATGAATAATAAAGTAGTAAGTACTAGCTGATATCTTAAAAATAATTATATTAATAAAAAACTTTTTATTGCTGAGATCATATATATATTATATTTTTTATATATTTTTAATTATTTATTCTTTAAATTATATTATATTTCTTATTTATATTTTAGCTTTTTATTATTTATATTAAACTTTTATAAGTATTTTTTCAATTTTAATAAAGTATTTGAACTTATTTATAAAGAATTTAAAAATTAAAATAATTGCAATATTAAATTAAAATTCATAAATCGAATAATTTTATATCTTATTAGAAATATTAATTTTAGTATAAAAATTCAGAATATATACAAATTTTTAATATAAAAAAATCATATTGAGTTCTTTTATATTTAAATATCTTATTAAAAATAATATTTTACAAATTTTATATAATAAAAAATTTTGTATATTATAATTAATTAGTTTAATCTATAATGCAAATAAATATAATTGCTTATGATAATTATAATTTTAATATATAAATATATATTATTTTATTAATAATAAAGTAGTTATAACAAAATTAAAAATAATTTAAAAATTTGCTTTCTGGTAAAAATCAAAATATATAAAATAAAATCAATAAAAAAAAGAACAAAGTGATAAAGTTATAATTTTTGATAATTAAATTTTTAATTTAGTTATTACTAATTAATTTATATAAAATAAAACTTTGAGAAATTATATCTAATTTTTTATTATAAAAATAAATATACAATTATATAAAAAATGATTTATATATTTATTGAATATAAAAATTAATTTGTATCTTTTTTACTAACTTTTTTTTCATATACTGCTTAATTAAATAATATGAAAACAAATAATATTATGATTATTTTCTCTAATTTTATATAAATAAACAAAAATATAATATATATATATAATATTTATTATAATCTAATAATATACAGTACAAATTATCTAGTTATCACACAAAAAATTAATTTAAATTATATTAAAACTCTCAAAATAATTCAAAAAAAAATTAGAAAAGATATAAATTAATAGTTTATTAATTATTTTATAATATTATATATTTTTTAATTGCAAAAGTTCAGATTATTAAGTTAATAGATCTTAAAAATTTGGCTAATTATAATAAATAAATGATCTGTATTTTACAAAAAAAACTTAAATTGATTATAAAATACTTGTTTAAGATATTATAATTATTTATTTTTGCAAGTCAATATCAAATATATTTTATAAAATTACTTAAAAAATTTGAAAAGTAAATATTCTGAATATAATAATATTTATTTTTTCTACTTTAAATAATTTAGACAAATTCTTTTAATTATATTATAGCAAATATAAAACAAAAAAAATATTTATAATATATAATATTATTGATAAGTTAATTTTTTTCAATTTTGTTATTATTTGTTTTTGTATTTTTTAATTTGATTTAATTTAATTTTTTTATTTTTATTTTAGTTTATTTTTTTTATTTATTTTATTTTTTTATATTATATTAGATTATATTTTATTTTTTCTTTATCTTTTTTGTCTTTTATTATTTTTTTCTCCTTTTCTTTTTTATAATTTTTTCTTTCTTTTTTTACCATATTTTTCTTTTACTTTTTCATTTATAAATACATGCCATATAATCTCAAAACTTGATAAATAATAGCAAAAGAAATCATCATCAATTTATATATTAAAATAATATCTATTGCTAATATAGATCTAGTAATTCTTGTTAAATTTAAGCAAATAATAAAATTTTAAGCAACAATTAATTATAAAAAGATAATAGACTATAGAGATTATTATATGTTATTTTTTCTTCACTTTTGATAAAGTAGTTATATAAGTTGGAAAAGATAATTAAATTAACAAATTGTTTAGTACTTAAGATAAATATCTAATATCTGTAC